TGGCTAAGTAAAAGGGGCCACATTTTTATGCGGTACTCAAATAAAAGAACGCATCAAATGAGATAATGGCTTTGAACAAAAGCCAAGAAAAAGAATAGATAGAGTAGAAAAAGCCTGTTATGAGTTGGAATAAATGGAGTGCACTTAATAAGTTTCTTTGAGGTTAAACAAGTATTCAACTGTTATTAAAGTTCATGAAAAAATATTCAAATGGGGTTTTCGTTTTAATACTGAAAACAAAATATCGAACAAGAATCCAATTATATGCATTATAACCGCTGAAGCAATGTTTTCATGTTTTTCTACATATGGATAATTTTTTATGAGGAGCCTTGATTTTCATTGATTTTCATGTCAGATATACTAGCGGAATTACCATTCCCTGCCGATGGGGCGACGGCAATTCGAAAATTTAATTTATCTATTAATTTAAATTAAATTTCGGATGTTTTGTCGTACCAAGATTTTAGCTCTGGCCATCCGCAATAATTCCGCGGCTGACCCATCTATATTTTTAAATTATAAATTGATAAAATCTTCTTAATATTTAGTCACTTAACTCATGCCGTGTAGTAGGGAGTGTCCTGCCTAGCTGTTCGATTATCTGCCGCTCGAAAAGCGAAATAGACGGAAGCGGCAAATAATAGATCTTTCCGACACTAAGTACGTGGCCAGAAAAAAGGCGCAGATTTTGTGTTAAATCTATGGTAGAAATGGGAACCTCTGTTCATCTCGGTGACCGAATATCTTGCAGCCATCCTCATTACGAGCAGAGATATCTCGTCAATGCATGTAAGGTTGCATGATAAGGTGTTACAACCACAACATAAAGCCAAATAGTTTTCTGAATTTATTAACAACTCTGTGTATTCAAATATGAAAAAGTCTATCTTCAATGTAGATATCCGTCGTAAAGCTCTCCATGAAAGATAAAGTAACTTCCAGAAGGTTTCAAGACTGAAGCACACTCATGAGCATACCCACCAAATGTTGTATGGACTGATATACTGATTTTATGAATTCGTATTTAAATTGAAACCCTATGATGCGTCTAAACAAAGCAATGTCAGTGATTTATGAGATTAAGTATCTGACTGGTATAGTTCCGATTTAGAAATACTAGTTGTTTACATACTGGATTGGCGGTTTACTGTAGGACTATAATAAACAGAAGTTCAATTTAGATAATTTTTCGAAAATAATTGTGGAATCTAATCTTTACATTCGTGCTTTCATAGTTATAAAGTGAATAATCTCAGTTTTATTTCGTATTCTTATTTTAATGTATTGTATTGCATTCTCGATAGCTATCTTATACCGTACTCCCATACGTATACACTACAACAAATCATACTCTAAACATTTAAATTTTCTTCATTGATATACTGGTTGTTGGGATTAAGCGTTCACTCTTAGTGGCAATGGGATACTAATTGAAATTAATCAATCAACCGTGAAGCAAACACCCACCGTACATAGTATGTACATACTTACACTTTGGTGTGTTCTGCTTTCAAAATCTAATTTGTATTTTATTTCAGTGTGTGAGGATTTGTGCCAATCACAGCAGCATTCATCAACATTCAACTGTCGTTGTAAATCTGTATAGTAGCTGTTAATTGAAGTAATTATTCAAAGGCGCAGCCAATTGCAGATGCATCTAGTTGGCAATGAGTAGCCAGTCAGGAATGCACCTGAAAATACGGAATTTCGAAAACTTTGCCCTTACTGAAACTGCAAATATGTGAAGTTAAATTATTTTACACAAAAGATTCTGAAGATTTGGAATATGAATTATACATATAGTTGCAGTTATAAATCTCATTTTCCACTCGAGTGAAAATATGGCAGTCTGCTTCTGGTATAATTGAAGTTTCAAAACAAAAATGCATTTGTAATTGAAATAAATGTAATGAATATTAATTATTCAAAGAAACACACTTCAAATATTTATAAATTATTTAGTTTTTGAATTTCACCGAAATATGAAAAAATTTTAAATTTTTCCGGCAGAGAACACAGTATTGTGATTTCGTTTATTTCATACCCAGTAAACTGACTAATTTTGAAACATTTTGGACCGTAAAATTTTTATTTCAAAATTCACTTTAACTTGTATGTTTGAAAAGAAGCTAGATTCCAAAACAATACAAAGAAGAGTCTGAATCGTTATTTAATTGAGTTGCTCAAGTATTCGCCCGTAATTTTATGCAAATTATTTTGCTCACATCTTATATACTTATTGTTACTTGGTCCATTTAAAAATGTAAGGGATGTTGTTATAGGCAAAAAATGTCTGTCAACAACCACACAGAAGGTCAAAAAGCAGCAATGACAACCGACTGATGAACGGGTTTCTGCCCGACTTACACTTCTTCCCTATGAGAGCGTTTTTTATAAAAGGTACAATCGAGCATTTCCTGTGAAAGACTGAAATCATTTGACCAGATATTCACCATGCGCTGAATGTGGGAAACAACCAGAGAAGGGTTTCTCCGAGCCGATCGAGACTCGGTTCCCACGTTACTGGTGGCAGTCGCAACTTTAAAGTCTTAGATAACTTCCACTAACGTAGTGCCAGCATTAACAACAACAATTATGCTAGTCCTGAAATCCAATGCATATACTGCTCTCAGTCCAATGCAGCAGTGACTCAAAAGTAAAGTCCTCCGTCGATGAACAAAAAATAAACTCAACAAGTGCCTCACCATTGCCGTACTTCTAAATAGTGCAGAGGCTTGGATGATGACGACATATGACGGGTCGCGTTAGGAATTCTCAGGAAAAAGATTTTTGGTAGGATTTATGTTTCTCTGCGAATTTCCAAGGGCAAATACCGCAGCCTATGGAACGGTGAGCTGTACGAGACAAACGGTAATATTGACACAGTTCATTGAATCAAGTGCTATGTCGAGTAGGACATTGAAGATATAAAAGCTCAGGAAAGCCGTAGTTGAAAACAAGAGAAAGAAAGTTGCCAAGGAAATGGCAAATGATACTTTCGTTACTGCTTTGATTTGCTCTATTTTGATTTTTTATCGGTTTTTCTCAAACATAACCAAGATTCTCAAAAGGCCTGTGCACTATTGTGTCTAGGAAGACAAAACCATAGTTTATGAACATTTTCCTGAATTTGTGGGAAACCTATAATTATATAGCCTTTGGGATTCCGAATGTAGCCAAAATGTTCATCATCATGGCCTAGGAATTTTTAAAATTCTGTTTAAAAACTTTTCCCAATTTTCCAGTAGTTTTTAATTCATAATTGTTGTTTTTTGGTGGTGAACATTACCACTTCATACGGGATGATGCTTACACAATACGAAGAATTTGCATGCTTCTAAAAGAATCGATCTACCGCATCCAGTAAAGCTTGACCCCACGCGTAACCAATATTAATTTACTGACTGAATGAACTGGTTGTGTTCACTATTTGACTTGCATTAACAGCGCATTATTTTCATTTATACTGCGTACACGATAACTGTGTTCAGTCAATACACTACTATTAATTTGTGCTCAACAACCATTCAGCCCATCAGCTAACGGTAATTTATATGTTTTCGCACGTAAACGCACACTCTCTAAACAAATCTCAAATCAACAGCAGTTAGCCGAACAATGTAATGCATCATTAATTTTACGTTCTGTTGTAATTTACATTTCAGCGGTTAACTGTTGCGAAACGTTGTTGGTTTTTAGTTAGTTTGTAATTTACTTGCTATTCAACGTCTAACATTTGAGCGTATTTCCGTAACTAATGTCCGAAATTGGTATTTTTGTGCTCATGTTGCTAATTGCTCTGTGGCGTAAAGCTACATACACGTATTCAAAAGAAAAAACCTAGTTCCGAACTATTTACCGGCAAATGTCAGGGGATCAACAAAAGTTCGGCCAGTTGGTGACTTTCAATTAATTGTTGTTAAATCTGAGAATATCAAATCATTGCAATCACATTAACAGTCTTCGTTTCATAATTTAGAATGATCCGCCAAAGTGGAGATAAAAAAAGAAAGATAGCTGAGGATAGGTCGAACGAAATCCACCACCAACGCAAGCCCCACCGCAATTTACAGCCAATGCAAATATTCAATGAATGCCAAATTGCATATGGAACAATTGCACCATCTTTAATGACCTATTCCAAATGGTTCCGAAGATACCAGACCTGACATTTCTCCGTAAAGTATAAGCCCCACAAAGGGGCTGATAACGTCACTTCAGCTCAGGTGAAATCCAAAATTTACGAAGACCCACTATTGACACAAAAAATGATTGTTATTAAATTGGGCTAGAAAGCCATGACAGCACCGCATATATTAAGTTATCATCTGGGATACACGAAGAAATCTGCTCGATTGGTACCACGAATTTTAAAAGAGACCCAAAATGAGGCTCGAATGCATTTTGTTCAATTTTTTCTAAATAAATTCGAAAATTGTCAGCCTAGCAACTGTAGTCAAGTCCTTACTGATGACGAATATTGGTTCTATAAGTACGAATTGAAATAGAAACCAATCAGCAGTACATGGTACGGAGCCCAACCGGAGCAAGCTCATCCGTAAAATCTAAGCAGCAAATACCAGCAGCAAGAGTATAGATGTCAGTTTACTTCACCCGATCTAAAATTGTAGCTGCTATTTCACTGGAAAAGAGTCAGACGGTAACTACATAAATATTCAAAGTGCATATACATTCAACTAATATATGTATACCCATTCAAGTACAAGTATATCTCGTTTGCGCTGTCGGAAAAAAATTAATTGTACTCCTGAGATATTTTTTAATAATTTCGTTAAAAAAATAAGAAAGGTTACTAAGTCAGAGTTTGTTCCGATGTTTCACATCCACAAAAGAATCCGAGTACATATCTTTTCAGAAAGGGTTTCCTCAATACACTGTATATATGTATGTAGCTATAAATTCAAATATACATTTTTGAAATTGAAACTTTAAATTGAAGTTTGCCTACAATCTGTTATCTTTTGCTCTTTTTGTAGTTGCATCACGTGATGCGCCCAGTAGTGGCAGCAGCAGCAGCAGCAGCAGCAATAGCGGAACCGGTAGCACTGCAGGCAATAACAACGGTAGCTCAGGGCAAGGCAAATATCCGGTGCTGGTGTTTGTACATGGTGAATCCTATGAATGGAATAGCGGTAATCCGTATGATGGTTCGGTGTTGGCTAGCTTTGGACAAATTCTGGTCGTCACAATAAACTATCGACTGGGCATATTAGGTGAGTATATTAACGGTCTAATAAGAAATCAGCTGTGGTTGGCAGAACACAATTAAAAAAATATATAAGATAATAATTACTTTAAAAATAAATAAAAAATGAAGCTTGAACTCATTCCGTCCACCGTTTCTCCGGCAGCCACATTAATTTAGAGCGAAGAATTCTTACTGAGTAATTTAAAAATTGATATTGGAAATTTTTGAATTTGGAAATTTATTATAAAATTTGAATAATTTAAACATAAAAATCTTAATTTTTTACCCTTTGTGGGGCTAAAATGTATAAACAAAATTTTACCGGTAGATGGCGCTGTGAAAAGATGCCGGTTTCGATCTGCTTTAATGCATAATGCGACGTAATTGCGGACAGCAGAAAAAGATTTTAAATATCCGTATTTGTTTAAAAATATACATTAAATGCAGAAAAATATATTAAATCTTTATATGAATGGACGACACTCTTTATTAGCCACTGATAATAAAATCCAATAATCTGTATGGTCACTCGTCTCTAAACCAATTCAGACTTAATTTATGGACCAAACTGAATAATTTTGAGAGTGACATAAGACAGGAATCCCGCATGAGCTGTGCTAAACAGTAAAGTTCTCTCTTGAAGAACAAGGACCAAACACTCCAAATCACTCATCATTCGTATTCTGTTAAATGGTAAAAAAAAAATCCTGGGCAAGACTGGTACACGATGAGTTGACCTAAAGGTTTTCGAAAGAAGTATTTTCGGAAAGATGTGTGCACCTTTGAATACTAGCATTGGCACATATATACGAAATCGACATAATTTAGCGAATCAAGAGAAAGTGGCATCGTCACATTAAGTAATTTTTATAATATTATATGGAGTTCCCACACTGGAGGCAGTACAATGGAGGGATAGTTGGTATCGATAGTCGATAGACGACTTGAGTGAACTATAATAACTTTGCTGACCCTTAAATTAAGTAATTCAGAGAGTCTTAAGAGAGTGTTTTGCCTTGTGGCCACAGCTGAATCGCTTTTTAAGGTCTTAAATATACCTGGAGTGGCGACCGCAGACAGAAAACTAAATTTCGATGTTGGTTGGACCATTAATCGCATTCTTCCCCTCCAACTGGTAGTACGACTGCCAACCACCTGGTTAGTGCATGTATTTAAACAAGGAATAGGTTCGTTATAATTTTAGGGTATTCTTTAAATCTTTTAAATATTTTAACTTGAAAAGAACAATGCCAATATTATATGTGTGGATTGCGGCACTCAGTAAAAAATGGGTACTAAACCCTGTATTGTATACCAGCTATAGAAAATGGGTAATAAAAACCATGATATTATATGGATGCACTGTCTTCTAAATCTTTTACAGTTAGACCTGTAGGTAAATTTCACCCTCGACTCAAACTCGATGGCGTGATGTGATGTAGAGTTTACTCAGAACCACAATCGATTGAGATGAGCAAAAGACTTTCCGGCCACTTCACAACCACTCAACTCCATAATGATAACTCTACCCATTACAATATTCTGACAGTCCAGCTATTATTAAGTCTCTTTAATCGAGCCACTTAATCTGCAGATAGAGCTCAAACAAATCTTTGATCGTATGTTATACGTTCGTAGCTTAGATCCCGGCACCCAGCAATATTCCAGGGGTACTGTCCTAACCAAGGTGAAACTGTACATGACTTGGAAAATATCCGCCACCAGTAGGATCTATCTCCCCGAGTATAACAGCCGGCATAATAACCGGACTCCGGCTGGTAGCGACTTATGCTAAAAGAACAGGTGACCTCTCTTGCAGATGCAGAGACATACGAGTACATGAGGAGGAGCAGATAGAACACTCCCTCTGTCACTGGCATACCCTTATGGAAATAATAATGAATAATGAATTAATGCATTTTAAATTTGTTTTACTTATTATAATAAAACACATTTTTCTGTCATAAAAAATTTGTGCACAAATTTTGAGTCTGTCGGTTACTATAAATTAGGAAATAGGTTAATATCATTAATTTTAAACAAATTTTACAGATACATATGTAATAAAAATTTTAAAATGGCTTCCATAATATTTGCGGAGGCTTCCAATAATTTGTCCATACATACACATATATACACTTATGTAACTTATGTTTATATATCCTTGGATGCGGTAATGTGCATTTTAAGTACGCCTGCTCTGGATGGCACTTAAAATTTTATGCAAATATATATGCAACTTTATTAAAAAGCACAATTAGCGCCCAGATTGCACTGACACAGTGGCAGTGGTGTTAATGTAACTATATGCACATTTCATACAACACACACACACATACATACATGTCTAAAAACATTTACTACATTAGCTTGAAAAATAAACTTTTACTACCAACTATTTAGCATAATATGTAGATATGTATGTTTGTATGTAGATGTAAATGTATTGCAGTAGCCTTTCGCGATATTCATTTGTTTCCTAATTTGCATATGAAATTTGCTCCCTGGCAAAGAGATTCTTTCCGCGCTAAAATCATTGTCAACCGTATTTGCTCATGTGTATGTATGTATGCATGTGTAAGCGTGTGCGCATGTATTGCGTAAATTTGTTGGCTACTACGGTGTTGATGTTGGCGGTGTTGCATCGCCACAGTTGTGGCTGCTGTTAGTGTTTAGCTGCTATGAAATTTATAAATGCAACTTTTGCTTTTATGAATTTTTCATGAGCCACCTATACAGAAGCATACAACAACACACCTACGCATACCATACCATGACATTCCATACTATTCATACTGACAACTGTGCAACCAAATTCTCCGTTTGCATTGCTCAGCATAGCAATTCAAATTGTTTCCGCCCTCTATACGACCGAATGCAAATGTTGGCCATGAAATTAAATGAAATTTTTTATTTAACATTTTTTTCACCGAGTTTCGAGTTTAGAATGTTTATTTTGGCATCAACGTTGGTGTTGTGTACGGAGGAGAGCAGAGTTTGGATTTTTAAAACGCATTCTGGTTGCCAGCGAATTTGTCGCATCGAAAATGCAGGCGGAATTCTAAGCAGTTACTACTAAATGCAGCTACACTAACTCTAATATTTGGCTGCATACACATATATGTATGTGTGTATGTACGAGTATATACATATAGTGACATATGAATGTGTGTGCAAGTAACTGTAGGGATAAAATGTCATCAAGTAAAGGGTGCCACAGTACAGTGGAAGAAAACATTTTTTTATAAAAAAATTCAATTTGCTCCTACATACATATTATACGTTAGAGAATATAAAAATATTCGTGCATAGAGATGTTTTAAATTCCATTAAAATTGTAAATTACTTTATTCTAGTAAAAATTTAAAGATGCCTTTGAAAATTGTGTCTGATTAGAGTTAATATAGTTGAGCAAGCAACGAATAGGAGGGAAAACGTAGGGCTTCTGTGGCTAAGAACTTGACTAGCATCTCTTCGGAAAGTCAATTTTAAATAATCAACAGAGTTTAACAGAAATCGAAGAAAATGGTAGTCAGATGATGCATGGTCCAGACAATATATTCCCTTCTCCGTCAATATTTCAAAGGACATCAAAGCTATATGCGGTCTGCCGTTGTTATGCTAAAGCAACCCACAATTTTTATTTTTCATTTCTATACAATTTTTTTAAGAGTTTGTTTTTGGATAATTAAGTGTTGACCGTTGAGTTGAGAGTTTCTGTTTCTAGCAACACATAACGGACAAACCAACCATCGTAGTATCGCTTTGTTTCAGGCTTCGCACTTTGTCCTTAATTTCTTCCATTTTATTCTCGTATCAAATCTATTTTTAATCGCCTGGGACTTTTCGATTTTCTACAATCGATACTTCTATAAATGATTCCGTGAGTGAGGCCTACCGCCTCCGCTACATCATCGGCTTGAAATCAAAATGACTTTTCATACGAATTATGATATATTGAATTATTTTCCCAAATATTGCCTGAAATGCAAGCTTTCAAGCAAAGGTTTGTTTGAGAAAATCTACTTATTGTTGCTTGAAATATGAGCATCAACAACATTTAGTGACAAAAAAAAGCATAGGTTTTTTCAGTTTTTAATATTTTCCTATGCTTCCACTTTAGATAAACAACTTCCAACAGTATCGTTTCTATGAAAATTCACTTTTGAAAAAACTTCATTTAAAGGAGGAGCTGGGACGCAAATTGCTTCAAAGACATTAAATTATCATTTTATGTAATTAAAAAAGTAAATCGCGATGTTTTATTGATTTCTTAAATTTGTCGAGATCCTCTTTTTAGGTCAAGTACCAAGTCATCCATTCATTTTACATGTGATGGCTTTAGTGATCTGTACCTCGCTTTCTACTAGTGCAATTAAATTACCACAGATTCTGTGGGAAAAGTGTTGATCACAAATAGACTGACTAAAAAATCTTAAAGGTGACTCCGAAGTGAAATTTAATTTAGTTGTTTTTGGAGTGGAACGAGAAAAGTAAAAGAAAAGTGGCAGTTGAAAGAAACATGTCAAATGGATCGGTGATTAAAGTAGGCAATAGAAAATGTATAAAAGTTACAAATAAAATAGACCACCGATCAAATAAAAATCTTGAGAATATTAAATTTTTGGTTTGAAATTATAAATAATTAAATAAACTAAATAAATCGAATCTTAATAATTTCGAGTTGGCGCTGCAAACAATGATTTCATTAATTACTGCAAGCAATTTAATAATCACATAATGCGTTAGAATTGATGAAAGTGATGAAAGAGAGCAACCCGAAGGGCCACAACCGAGGTAGGAATATGTCTAGGTGAGAGCTCTTAGTCTTGTGAGACCTGTCAAAACAAAATATGATATGTACATTAACTATTCTGGATCGTCTGAAAGGAGGTCAAATGCAGTTTTGCTTTAAGCACTTGAAGTATTGCTTTATTTCTAGTAGATCTATGTTTTATTTTCCTCTGCGTTCGACGGTAGCTTTTGTGACCACGGTTACCGATTTGACCCATTTAAGTGCCATATACTCGTACAGCGACTGCTAGTACAGCCCGTTCCCATTGGGTTATGGTCCTTAATATTTTTCCCTGCAGATTTCATGCGGATTCAAAATTATATGCTATACATTAATTTGTTTAAGAATTTATTTCGGTAAGACCAACATCAATGTATGCCCTCTCAAATGTAAAATGATTTTTCAAAATCTGAATTATATGTTGGAAAAGAATATATTACTTCTTGTATCAATTGAATTATGTCTGGATTATGTTTTGCTGGGGCTTAGATAGTAGGTTTTTTTGAGATTTTATTCATGGTTCGAGACTTAACGAAAGCCAAGTGGAAAAAAATTTCCTATATAATTTCGGTTGTCAAATTTCGTTACCAAAATATTTTCAAAAATTATTTTTTCCCCATTTTTTCACTTCTTAAATCTACTGCTCTTGAATGCATTTTATTTTCCTGGCATTATATGTTGGACCAAAAGTACATGAAGTATATTGGAAAAATTGTAGTATATTTCATTAATCGAAAAAGTATTACCTTTGACTAATCAAGAGGTCTTGGGAAAATTTTGAAAAATTAAACAAAGTTTAGAAATCAACTTGAAACTACATTTTCTACACAAAAAAAAAATCTTAATGGAAAAGATTTCAATTTGTGAAATTTTTTACGAAAACCATCATTACTGTAATAGATAATTGTATTTCTTTACGTTAGCTGGAAGGGTTTGGCATACCTTTATTGAAGTTATTTAATCTTTAATTTTATGCATATAAGCCGATGGCCTAGTTGCTGGTGTTTCATTATTATTTTGTTAGTGATTGTAATTTTATGCAATATTTACAGTTAGTGACTGCTTTGCCTATTATTTTTACTTATTTTTTAATTTGATTAAAATTAGAATTTTCAAACATAAACACACATCCCAAACTTCATAAAAATATAAAATTCTTGTTTGTTGAAAAGCATAAAAAATATTATTTATTCTTTTGAGTTAGTCGGCCCAGAGCATTGCACATTCACTGTTATTTAAAATTAAATTATCTTACGAACTCTTTACTATATATATTGCATTTGTAAGGAGCTCTTCAAGTGGTTACTTTGGAATATAACAAATTTTTTTAGCTGAATTAAATTGTTAATTAAAATTGACCTGCAAAAGCACATCCATAGAAGAAATTTGGTATAAAAAACCCTTATGGAGGAAAAACAAAAGGACAGCCAAATGACTTTTGTTAATTTTAATTATAGTATTCAATAAACAAAAAACTGCCACCCATTAAAATTACAACACACTTTTTGCACCTGCACAGATTTGCTAAAACAAAGTTTGCACATGACATGTGGCAAGCGGCGGCGACAAAGGTAAATATGCACTTGTTTACCTGAATTGCTGCATGTTGTTGCAGATACGAGTGTGACGTTGACAAAAAAAAAAGAAAAAAAATACGCGCTCACATTAAATTGCATCTGTGAATTTGTCATTTCCGAGTGCGAAACACATTCACTCATATACATACATATAGACATATTTACATGTGCAGCAGGCATATCTATGCAGATGCGGGTTTGTGCTAGTCCATCCCGTTTGCTTCGGATTAAATATGTGGAATCCGTAGCACTTAGTATAAACTCCAACAAGTTTGGTATATGCACGTACGCGTAGCGTAGGTATGCATTTGTATGTAGTTAAATGAAGGGTTTAAGCTTTAGTGCATTTTAGCAAAACCAACATAAGATAAACACAAGTGAAAGCATCCGTACGGAGTCAGTATAAATGTTGACCTAAATGCAAACACTAATACAAACATATTGTATATATACACATCCATGCATGCATTCATTCATAGGCGCATGTGTATGTGTGTGTAAACACATATTCAATGCATTCCAACATGCCCATCCCACGGCATTTAAATATTTCACAGCCAGACAGCGTGAAGTTTGAACAAATATTATATTTAAATTGTGGTTACGATTTAAATACAGAACCTCATAGTTGGGCACTGCGGTTATGCTAAGTAATTATGTAAAAATTAAAATATATGTTTAAAACTGTGAAATCTCTCAATTGAAGAACGCTACAATAGTCGAAACAACACTAGTTCAAAATTTTGTTTCAATGTGACCCAAAATGGTGACGTTTCAGATCTAAAAGCAGTTTTCTTACTTTTCAGGTTTCTTAAATGCCAATACCGATCGCTACTCAAAACTGCCCGCCAACTATGGCCTAATGGATATTATTGCCGCGCTGCACTGGCTGAAGGAGAACATCGCTGCCTTTGGTGGTGACCCACAAAGTATAACATTGGCCGGTCATGGTACTGGCGCTGCGTGTGTGCATTTTCTGATATCTTCGTTGGCCGTGCCGGAAGGTGCGTTTGGTGAAAATCAATAACTTTTCTCTAAAAATATTAATAATAATAAATTAAACTATAATTGCTTTTCTTTACAGGCTTGCTCTTCAACCGCGCCATACTCATGTCCGGCTCGGGTCTGGCCCCCTGGTCTCTGGTCAGCAATCCCGCCAAATACGCCGCAATTGTTGCACATCACGTTAATTGTGCACCCGATCTCTCGCATGCTCATCTTATGAAGTGCTTACGCGACAAGACACTGGATCAACTATTGGGTGTACCGATACGCCAGCCAGAATTCGGTTTTGCTTTCGGGCCCAGTATTGATGGTGTGGTAATAGATGGCGGTGACTATGTGCCACCAGCAGCTGGCTCGATCGCTGCCCAAGCGCAAGCTTCCACGGCTGCCGCTGGTGGTTTGGGTGGTGGTGCGGGTATTGCAGCGGCGGGTGGTTGGGGCACACCAGGACAATTGGAGAATATCGGTATGTCTTATGGAGTTAATAAAAAAATTGTCTCTATATATGCAAGCATTATATATTAAATACAATATAAAAGTAATAAAGTTGTATATAAAATTAATGACATTTATATGATTGCTTTCAACTTACACTATTCACTCATTTTCTGCGCTATTTCCTACGATTCGCGTTATGCATCTACATACATATGCCTACATGTAACCTGCTCTGCCCTATGGTATGGTTATTTGTCAAACCCGCTTTATTTCATCGGGATTACAACACTTTATCGGATTTCCATCCGGTTTCTCCGCATGCCGTACGTGAGGCGGCTTTACGTATGAATACTCATTTAATGCCATCTTAAATTCTGTCGGCGGCGCTTACGGTGTTGACTTCAATTTACTCGCGAATTAATTAATTCAGTATTGATGAGGAAAACAGCCATTAACAAGTTGTCGAGGTATGTAACCTGTAGCCTGCAAAGGAGTTATTTATATACACAATTAATTCATGCAGCCAAAGATATTAATTTCTGTGAATGGTTCGATGAGAAGTTGTCGCAATATATGAGTGAATGTTATGTGTGCATATGTATGATCTTTATACATGTATACCATTATCTTATTTACCGTTATCACGAATCATTCTATGTAATGGTTAATTAATTTAGTCTGTAAACAATTAATTAATTAATTATATTGCTTTGCCTAAATAGAAAATACGAGCGCATATATATATGTGTATATGTTCCTAATTAAATTGCGCCCTAACTACGGTATTCGCGTATACTACATAATGCTCAAAACTCATAATGAAAGCATCAAATATGCTTAGACTTACCAATCTGCTTTGAATATAAAAGTACCTGCAGACGTATTTTGGTTAATCTAAATGTTTTTTTTTTTAGTTATTTTTGGGGCATTTGCTCTAGCTTCAAGTGGTAGGTTCAAGTCCTAACTAGACTAAATGTTCTTAACTCAACATCTTCTTTTCTATTGGCGTAGGCAACACTTATGCGACTATAAACAAAACATGTCCATCCTTGCAAAATCGAAGATACCAAATTAAGAAAAATTGCTCTCCACCATAGAAAATTTTCATAAGCAAATGGGATAAGCCTCCTTATTACCGCATATATGGTCCTGTAGAGCGTATTTTGTGAGAGACTAAAGCCAACCCTCAACAAACTGATTGGACCTTATCAGTGTGACTTTAGAACTGGTAAGTCTACCATTGATCAGATATTCACCATGCGCAAAATTTCGGAATAGACAAGTAAAAAGAGGATCGGTACTCATAACCTCTTCGTCGATTTTAAAACCGCCTTCGACAGCACGAATAGGAGCTGCCTTTATGCCGCTATGTCTGATTTTGGTATCCCCACAAAACTTTTACGACTGTGTAATCTGACTTTGAGCAACACCAAAAAGTCCGTCCGGATCGGGTAGGACTTTTCCGCGCGGTTCGGTCGTGTGATTTCTTCAATTTGATGCTTTAGAGAATAATAAGAGCTCTAGAGCTGAATAGAGAATGTACAATATTTTATAAGCGTGTACAGCTGCTGGCGTACGCCGCTTATATTAACAATATTGGCGTTAGTTCTGCTTTCTACAGACTGTAGCAGAGTAGCGAAGCAAATGGGTCTGGTAGTGAGTGAGAGCAAGACGAAATATCTCCTGTCATAAACAGTCATCGCATTCCCGACTCGGCTCCCACGTCACTGTTGACAGTCATAACAATGACGTCATAGATAACTTTGTCTATCCACGAACCAGTATTAACACCAACAACAAACTTCAGCCTGGAAATCCAGCGCAGAATCACTCTTGCCAATAGGTGTTACTTTGGGCTGAGTAGGCAATTGAAAAGTAAAGTTCTCTCCCGACGAACGAAAACCAATTTCTACAAGTCCCTCATCGTTTCCGTCCTGCTATGTGGTACGGAAGCATGGACAATGGAACGATGAGCTGTACGAGTTATGTGGCGACATTGATATAGTTCAGCGAATCAAGAAGTAGCGGCTACGCTCGCAAGGTCATGTGGTCCGGATGAATGCGAATACTCCAGCTTTGAAAGTTTTCGATGCAGTACCCGGCGGTGAAACTAAAGGATAGGCTAGTTAGAGAAGAACCTGGCTGTACTTAGTATTTTCAATTGGCGCCAAACAGCAAAACGATAAAACAAATGGCGCAATGTTGTGAAATCGGCTATAATCGCTTAAGCGGTGTCTACGTCGGTAAAGTATGTAAGTAAAAAAACTTTGAAATGTTGTCAATTTTTTTTCCGTGTGAGGAAACACGGATCATAGACCTGTTGGCTCTTAAGCTTTTACTGATAATCGCAAATAAGTTTTTTAACTCGCACAATTGTCTCAACAGTTTTCGTATGCGATGGTGAGTAGGCTTATCCCACAATGAGGGAGGTACCCTTGTTTGTAGATTAATATTAACATAAACTGAAATAACTAAAGTTGCCTTCCTAAGGCTTTGTAACCCTGCCGAGAACCAAAAATAGGCTTCGCAAGCAAGAGATATACTATTGCTCATTTTTTGAAGCATTTCAATTTACGAGATGGCATTTTTACTCTATCCTAAAGTCACACAGCTAATAAAAGAATCTCGATTCTTGAAACATTTAAACATGCCTTAGGAGAATTTTGGCCGAAAATCATTTAAACATTTACCGACCTCCAATTACATATATCCATATCTATATGTATATATTTACGAGTACATACTATGCATGCATGTATTAGCATGTGTGGTGTTTAGAATTTACATAAATTATCTTGCAGTGATATTCGCCTATAATTAGCGGAAATCTTCCACTAATTGCTGCTTAATACCTGAGAAGTGATGACATAAGCTACAGCCATATTAATATATGTATGTATATACTAATACGTAAATTTCGTGTAAATTTAATGACAAACTTATCACCTTAATTATATCAGTAGTGTTGTGAGTTATTTGTAAGAGTAAAAGCAGTTGTAGTTTTCTTAGGTACACATATACCTTTAGCAGGAACACGAGTTAGCATTTGCAGGTGTACTAACTACTTTAACTACTTTTTGTTTTAGAATTTTTTCTATGCCAGCAACTGGCACTTAAAACATGGCAGTATCCAATAAATTGTCAACTAACTGATTTTGCATCAGGTCAGTTCATTTATTGTATATCCAGCTGAAACAAAAATTTAACGAATTTGCATGTAAATAGCGAGGTTAGAGCCGTAAATCTTATACATGACAGCGACTGACTCTAGCCACTTGGCTATAAGGATAATTCCAACAATAAATAGCGAACATTTCTCTTGTCATATTAAAAAAATTTGACTCAATCGAAATTGATAAAGTATGCCAATGACATTGAACTGTCATGTTTTCACCTTTTAAATTGTAGTATTTGACTAGAATTTTTTCATTCAGATGCTAAATAAATAAACAAGGTTTCATAATGTATTCACTTTAAGACTTGAACATCAATAGCTACACATTCCATATGAGGACTCTATACATAAATTCATACAAATACATGTAATAACCTTTCAAAACAAAATTGACTACTTCGGAATTTTTTTTAAAAGGTTACAAGTAGACATAAATGAATGTTTAACTAGTATTGACTCATCCCTTGCAAATAATATCAGAGTCCGAAAACTTTTTAAGTAGAAAAAAGAAAGAAAATTTAAATAAAATGTAAAACAAATACCTTAGGGAAGCAATGAAAACATTTCGACCGCAAGAGTCGAGTGGTTACCATTTCATACTGACATTCTTAAGACCAGAGTTCGAGTTCTGATTCGAGCAACCTCTAAAATTATACAAAAGTAAATTTTCCAAATTGTGTTTGCCCCTCTACCGGCAACTTCAAGCCCATGACATGTGGTAAGGCTCTTCATAAGAGCCTATCAGCTGTTTTTAGGCTGCTTAGAACAAACTATAGGCCCCTTAATTTTTTTTTTTGGTTAAAAATATCAAAGATAAATTTTATATATGCGCCATAATAAATATAATAAAAAGACGATAGATAGTCGTTGTGTATTCTTACTATTACTTTTGCATTGTGAAAAAGACAATTCATCTGATTTCATTTGCTTCACAATTTCCTGATTTATTCAGAATGTTCAATCGTTCAGCGCTACCTTTTCCGTTTTTCCGTAGAGAGGAAAGTTTTACAATTTGCTTGAGAAGCATTATTCAGTTTTCTCTTATAAGAAAGACCACAGGTAAGGTCATAATTTTGCAATTACATATATGTACTTAGTTTATACATATAATATATAAGTATTAACAAAAATAAGTACGTGTGCATTGATTGATGAGATTGCACATGTGAGTATGTACATTTCAGTTTAAATCCCGTCAACCGATATTTTAAACGCATTTACGGTGTTAAACCTTATTTTCTTACGAGTACATATGTATGTGTGTTAATATGTCTTGCGTATTTCCTTTTAGGGGATTTCTTTTCAAACGCAATTTGCATGTGAAAACGCTCTTAAAATGTGTAGTGAAAATGTGTGTATGTGTGTGTGTGGCTGTATGTACAAATTCAGTTGCTTCAATCTTTCTTTTCACCAATCAGCTTTTATTTATTTTGTGCGTTTTATTTTTTCTTTCATGCTTTCGCATTGCAAACATGCAGATATGACCTGTTAGCTGGTGTCACACGTGCCGAGGCATTTTTCTCCTTCAATTCTGGCGATGTACAGTATGGCATTGAGGCGGATCGGCGCTCGAAAATACTAAAGGCCTACGTACGAAATACATACACGTATCATCTCAACGAGATATTCGCGACGATTGTCAATGAGTACACGGATTGGGAGCGACCCGTGCAGCATCCAATTAATATACGGTAAGAATTTTCAAAATAAAATTATCACAAAAACAAATACAAAAGTGAAAAAAGAAGTTCGGATATGGTTGAGTGATTAAATGCATGAATAGGCGTATAAATGCAAAGATTTTATGGAAGGCGTATTCCATTTGATGAGATTGCACATGTGCTGAACCGTCAATATATACATAAATAATATATAAATTAATTACGAATCGCAATTGCATATGAATATATAAGATATATAATTTCTTAAGCTGTTCATAAGTGCAACAATGAGGTCAAGGATAAAGCCAAATAAGTATAAATAGCACAATAAGTTAATAAAATGGCAACTTTAATTCAATGAAATATTTCAATATGGACAGGTGTTAAAATTTAATAGTATAAATCATGGTACAAAAACTTCAAAAGGTAATTTCACCTCGACATATTTGACACTAGACATATTTGCTCTTTAGTGCTTCTCAATTTCTTCCCAAGAAATGGAGGATCCTCCAGTTTGTTTACAGCTGTATTTAAATATGTAAGACAATTTTTTATTTAACCCCTTTTGAAGTCTTCACCCTCGTCTTGCATATTTATTTAGGGGGCATATTTATACAATTGGAAGGTAACAAAATAGATTTTTTGACCGAAAATCCAAACCCTTATAGGTTTTTTCTTAAGCAAAAGCAAAAATAGTAGAGTGAATTCAGCTACTAGAAGGTTACCTGCTACAGAAAAAATCACTAAAAAGCGCAAATTAAATAAATGACAAGTAATAAAAAAAACCTTGGATACATATATCAATGCTTTGGTATTATTGAAAAGTATAATAAAAACCAAATGCTCTGTTACTGTGATGATATCATTAAATTCATTTATATCGTTTAAGCATTTTTGTTGAATCAAAAACAATAAAATCTAAATTATATTAAAATTAAATCAGTGATTTCAAATATATATCACAACAGCCTCATTAAGTGGCATTGTAAATATTTATATTCTTGTTCATTTCAATAACTCAATAGCTGTACTTAAAAATAGAATAAAATATGGAATTACTGAAATTGACAAACAATTAAAACAATCAAAATACAACATAACCCAGCAGTGGGTGAATCATTTAATGATAATAAGCCCAACGAATACCCTCCACCCGCCCAACCGACATGAGTGTCGACATCCATATACCATACACCGAGTCATGATTGGGAAGCGTTTGTTAAGCGTCGAGATTTAAAACTCTTTAGCTACAGAAAAAACAGCTGATATTTAGTATTTAGCTTTGGAATTTTAAAATCTCTTTGTTGGGAGAAGTAAAAATAATTTTTGCTAAAAAAAATGCTAAGAAGTGAGTCTGGGAGATCAAAGTTTCTGTTATTAAGACATAACTTTAATAGTAGAAGCCTAAATTGCCTAGATACACGAATTGGAATATTAAAGTTTACCTCAGCTAAAAGCCAGGATATACAAATTGACCCGTTAAGGGCGCCTAACATTTATCTACGATTTGTAAGAGTGGGTAGACTTAGAAGCTTTAAACGGTTGGTATTAGTAGGAAGATTTATCGTGGAGTTCCATCAGAAATGTCTTTGCCTTAAAAGTAAAAATTGTTTTTGAACAGACTTTGACTTATCGGAATGAGCTTGATAATTGCGGTTCCATATCAGTGAACTATATTATAATATTAACGTCGCCAAAGTCGTATGAAGAGATTTAGTTGCAAAAGGGTATTTGAATTCTTTCACCATCTTTTCACAAAGGCAAAGCCATTTTTAGCTCTTAAGACAGCAGTATTGATATGAAGATGGAAGTTGAGCTTAGGGTCCATTGTAAGTTGTACAAATGTATCAGGCTGAATTAATAAATTCTATAAGGCGATGGTTGAACAAGTCTTCGTGAGAAGCACATGGTCTTACAGTTCTGATGGTTCAAAGGCATATCGTTGTTATCACATTCGATAGCTAAAGTTTTGTAAGAAATGTCTTTCGTCGAATAAAGTATATGTCACAAAAAGTTTTACATCACCGGTACATAACAAGATATTAGAATGCAATATTATCGAAGATATAACGTTTATGAATAAATGAAACAAAATCGGGCCAGGAGTTTAAATATAAGTTATTTAAAATATTTTTTTTCATTAAATTCTTTTTCATTACAAAGTTTGAACTTTGAGGTTATATGTGAACTATTACATCACTCAAATGATCGTCCCCCAAATACTTTACGCACTTCGAGTATGAGGTATTTTTTGACCAATTTTTAACAAATGTTCGGCATATCCGCATAAACACGGCCTTTCACGGAGCCACACAAAAATGTTTAACGGTGTCCAATCGCGCGATCTCGGTGACCAATTGGCATCATCCGTTTTGTACGGCATGTGAAATCGTCACGTTTAAATCATAAATTCCCGAAATAAATCGATAAACTTGTCAAGATGTGTCTTCATATTATATTATCAAATTCCAAGGTCTTGTGATATTGTGTTGAGGTATACGAAATGACCGTTATAAATGGCAGCATATAAACTGTCATGATGAGGGAGAATTGCTTTCAGGTAAATTTTTGATGCATTTATAAATGCCACTGTGCTGGTTCTAAATATTTTAAAACAATAAACCAATAAAAATACATTCCTAGCAAAAGCGAGTTCCTGCTTTAGAGCATTTTTTTCAGTACGTAGACACACAGTATTGTAGTTGCAGATCTACGTATGTCCCCTTGGGCTTAGTGTCACTCAATTCAAATTAAGACAAAAAAACTTCAATTTACATTAAGTGTAATAAAGTGAAAATTCAATAAGTTCATTAACTTTTTTTAAGAAGAGGAACAGAAACTAATTATTTCAACAAATGGCAACATCAAAATAGGATAATATATTTGCATGCAGCTGTTATACTTAGCGGTACATATATATGGAATTTATATCAAAATATGCCTATTTGACCTCACATTTATAATATTTTTGGTATCTTACTGCCACAGAATGCTAAGCAACAATTCCATATATCTTTAAGTACTGATGCACTTAAATTTGCTCCGCTTTTGTTGGTTGTAAAATGTTTATGATTTCCTTTTTTTTATCTTTTTTTACAGTGATGAAACACTAGAAGCGCTTAGCGATGCTCAAGTTGTAGCACCCGCTGCTCAAACCGTCGACTTACACTCAGCGGATCATCGCAACTCATATTTGTATGTCTTTGACTATCAGACCAGATATGGGGATTATCCTCAGGTGAGTTTTACAGGAATATCATTTCTATTTTTCCTATGAAAATATATTTCTTACATAAATGTACAAGTAAGTAATGTGAAATTAGTGCAATTTTGATTATGTGTCTCATTACTTTAAGTGCTTAGAGTTCTACTTCTTGTTTAGCTTTACCATTAAATATTTTGATTCAAGTGGAAGATATATTTTGAGTGAAGAAATAAAATCAGAAATTTAAGCAAATGATTATATTTTAAAATATACTTTCGGGTTTTTTTTTTGATATCATTAAGAATTTTTGATATGCCAACTAACCAAAGCGAGAATGGTGCTTGATACAATTTATTGATTCTGTATAACACAGGCGGACAAAATTTTATTAAATTTTGTAACCAGAAACAGGGCTATACTTTTTCGAAGGAACGTCAAGTTTTTGCTACATATGAGGCAGATTCTAGAATTTTTTTTTAATTTTACAAAAGAGATACACATAAAAACCCACTGGCAAATGATTAACGAATCAAAAACACCAGCCTGAATATCTTTATTATTTATTCATATTGTTTGCTAAGGTAAAGACAAAACAAGCCTATTACCCTACCTTTCCAAATTATTCGAAAGAATTCTGTACTTAAGATATCAACCGCCCTCTCACTCTACAATTTACTTCCGTGTCATTTGGCTAACAGTCGGATTACCGTAAAACAAAACAATTATAAAAATAATTTCGATGTATTTACAATATTTAACTGAGAAGTGTAAAATGCTGCCAGTCCAAAACTTCTTAGAATAACAACGTAAACATTCATAAAGATCTTGGTGTTCTACTGATTAAACCTGAAGTTGAAAGAAGCAAACCGAAGTACCTCACAAAACTGAGTGTGGGTTGCGATTCATTTACTAACGCTTTGTACAACTCATCCATTAATTATCGACTGTGACAAAGCGTTGACTCCAGCTAAGACGTAATCAATTTAGTTATAAGATTTGTATGCATACTGTAAGGCTTAAATTATTTAACCAGATTCAGTAATAAATAATATACGCAGCGACTTGTAGAGTCAAATTTTTGATAGTCAAGAGAAGAATCTAGTTTTCAATAGCCTACCCAGTCCGCACTAGCAACTGTTGGCATTTTTGCTGGTTCCCAGAGGGGCAAACTTGGTGATGAAAGCCAGCGAGAAGGTGACGTGTGTCAATCCAATCGTCTTTTTACTTGTATTTTCCAAGATGATGCACGTGTAATAGTCAATATCTGGTGAATGGGGCATTTTGTTTTTATACAGCACGTTAGATCAAACCTTCAAAGTGATATTGAGGATGCATATTCTATGGTAATTGGCACAGATGCTATCCCCAGGCAAACTTATATCATTATCATTATAGTGATATATTGCAATTCTTAGAATATATTTCATATTTTAAATTTGTTCTAAACAAACCCGTACTTTCATGTACTTCGTTCTATGATAGGGCTTAATCTTACCTTTATAGTTTTCTTTCAAAAAACTAAATCAATATTTTAACTTCAATTTTTCGTGCAATTAAAGGTTTTTTTTATTGTTTGTAACGATGAATTCCAAAATGGTTCTCTTTTACACAATTCAAGGCAAAATATGCTAGATTGAGATTTTGAGATTTATCGATGTTTCTCTTAACTATGAATCTACAACTACTGCATTGAAATGATGTTTGTATATTGTCGACGCTGAAAAGCTTTCTGTCGGTTGAGTCAGTCTTATCAATCTATATATGTGCACACAAAATATTATTTAGACATTTACATAAAATGTATATGTATGTTTCCAATTACTTGTGCTGCAAAAGCATATGCCTCACTGCGGCAGGTATTTCGGACAGGGCTTCAGCTAATAGTAATTATTATTGATTTCCATGTAAGTTTCATTTTCAGAGCAGCACAATAGGACCACTCTTGCGTTTTAATGACATTCCATTTGACAAATAACTATTTGTCCGGAGTTGATCACTTGCAAATTGGTGAGTTCAATTGAAATGCATAAATGAGTACATCACCAATTGATATTTTTCGATTTATCAAAAATGATTGGCAATAAAGTAATATGGGAAAGTAAAGAAGATGATAATGTACGAACATCGGGTATTTCATATCGATACCACCCCTCTATAGAATGTCTTTATTTCAAATTTTATTTTTCCTTATTTTCTAACAAATTTGCTATACTTTTTATAAGATTTTAATTAAAATGAAGTAATGAAATGAAATTGCATTTCTTAAGCCCTTTACTGTTAAATTGCTGCTTGCTTTTGTGAGCTTTTAATACACGTAGGCACCTGTTACTCGCAATAGAATTTTACTCATATGACTTTCATTATTGAAACAATTGCAATTTGAGTCAAAGCAATAATATTTTAAGCGCAAGCTTAGTCCATTCGTAAGCCACAAACCATCTGCTGATTACTATTTGATGCAACGCGAGCTCAGTTCAAAAAGCAAACAGAAGATGACCGACTTCTTACTTCATCGTCCCGCGCTTAACTCCACCAAATGCGGCTGAAGAATCTCCACTACATTTTCGTAGAAATTTCGACTGATTTTGCTTTAACTAAAATTCCTGCAATCAATAAAATTGTCTAGTGGGTTTGTTCTATGAGAGTGTGGGCTGGCATGTAATGACAAATAAGCCAAAGCAGTAAACATGCTAACAACATTCTTAGGCATTTGTCTGCCAGTCGAATACTCAACACTTCGGAGCTGGTTCAAGACCAGCTAAGTGAATAGTGGTAAGTACGCTCAGAGAAGAGAAACCTATGCCTAAAGTAAGGCAATGTAAGCCTTTGTAATGCCAGGACTGAACTGAGAACATAAAGTGGCCTAATGTGTTGGTAAATTATGCTCAGCACAAGCATTTTTATAGGTAAGGACATATGTGTAGGTGTAGAAGGCAGCCAGTGAAATACTCAAAAATCGTTGCAGGAAACCTGTTATTATGATTTAAAAGGTACAAGTCACAGTGTTGAGGGGTACAGGAGGTTTTTCTTTAATTAATTTTTAAGGAATCTTCAATGTTTTAAAACAATTTTAATTCAAATAAATATATAATATTAATATCTACAAGTTTTGTCAAATAATACAGGATGCTACATATTTATCTATGTCGGCATATAAGATAGAGCACCCTCTATAACAGCTTTTCCTACACACAAATACAATAATAATTTCCGTTACATTTGTATTTGCAGCGACAAGGCTGCATTCATGGCGAGGATCTACCTTACCTTTTCGGTGCACCGCTTGTGGGTGGCTTCAGTCACTTCACGCGAAATTATACGAAAACCGAAATTAATCTTTCGGAAATTGTAATGCTCTATTGGTCTAACTTCGTACGTACAGGGTGAGTATATTCTTAATATAATTGAGTCCAAAATGTAAGATTTCACAAAAAACTGCGAAAATTCCGTAAATTTTAGTTTGAAATGAAAAAAAGCTTTTAGCAAACTTGTTATATATGTATATATGTGTATTTTTGTATTTTTCTTCCGCTTTCCAAAGTAATCCAAATGAACAAATGGAAGGCGACCATCCTGGCAGTCGTCAAGAGCGCAGCCGTTACAAGACAATCGAATGGACGGCATATGAGAGCGTGCACAAGAAATATCTCAATTTTGGTAGGTATTGAAATTATAGTTATATACAAAACCATTTTTTATACCCAACAAGAACCATAGTAGAATGCACAAGATACACAACCTATGCGGTATAATTTATTTTATTGAAAACCCAAATTTAATTAAGTACATTTCAACCATAATTATCTTCGACCCTTTGCCAATTCTTGGATTTAATATTTTTAAATGCATTTTCTTAGGAACTATGTCATTTCTTTCGAAAAGATGGTGTACATACATCTTTCTATTTACTTCACTTCTCAGTCTTTGCCCACAACAACTAACTGTTAAATATTCTTTCTCTTTCAGACACAAAGCCAAAGCTGAAAAATCACTACCGCGCACATCGTTTATCCTTCTGGTTGAACCTCATACCCGATCTGCACAAGCCAGGCGGTGATAATGTGCCCGCAGCGCATCATCAATTAGTAGACGATACCGATGAAGATGTCGACAATAATATCGCAAGTGATGCGACCATAAAACCACTTAACCCACCATATTCACCACATGCAGGCACTGCCGCACTTGGTAATTTTACATTATTCACTAATCAGGTATTCTCGCTGCTTAATCTCTCATCACCATCGTCGGCACGCAACGCCTCACGTTATGGCGGAAAATTGTATCCAGGCGATGATGGCGGCGAAGCTCATGCGGCCGGCAGTGGTGCACCACCAGACAACCAAGATGGCTTCGCTGCATACTCAACAGCATTGAGTGTGACAATTGCCATTGGCTGCTCACTGCTCATACTGAATGTGCTCATATTCGCCGGCGTCTACTATCAACGCGACAAGACGCGCCTCAGTGAACCGCGTGCGCAAACTAAATTGAAGCGACAGGAAAATGGTCAAATGCCAAATAATATTTGTGGTGATCTCGAGACGTTGACGATACACACGAAAAATGATCCGGCGACCATACTCTCGCACCATCATGCGTTACAGCATCAGCATCAAATGCCACCACCCGAATTCGCAGACATACCACATCGTGCGCCGCCTCCGCCGAAGCATTTGAAATCCTTGCAGGACACGAGTGGGAGCATGAATATGAGTGGCGCTCTCAATGCGACGAGTAACATGTCTAGCGGCGGTGGTATGGTGGGTGGTGGCATGTGTGGTGGTAATGGTGCGGGTGGTGGTGGCATGGGTAATACAAATGGGCAAAGTGGCAGCGGGACGACCAGTGCCGGTGGCGGTGGTGGTGGTGGCGTTGGTGGTGTTGGGGCCGGCAATATGATGGGATTGCTGCCGCCACCGCATGCACTTCAAGTGATGGGCAATCAATGTGGCACATTAACCAAGAAGAGCTGTATGAAGCAAACACAACAGCAACAACAACAGCAGCAACAGCAACAGCAGCAACAACAACAGCAACTGGTTGTTACACATCAACAGCATTTGCAGAATCATCATAATCAAAGTATGACGACGGCGTTAATGGGCGGAGGCGGTGGCGGAGGAGCAGTAGGTGGCGGTGTTGTTGGTATTGGCGTTGGTAGTGTTGGCCCACCGCCACCATCGGTATCCAGCACACAAGGCCATCAGCACACAAACGCTCAGCAAGCGCATCATCAGCAAGGACAATTGCAGCAAATCCAACAACATCCCCTAATGGATGAATTGCGAGTGTGACATTAATTAACAGTGCGTTTCAAATGTGATCTCTAACGGTGATTAAATGATTGTGATGTGAAATGAAGTGGAACGGGGAGACTTCTCACAAATGATACACACATACATACTCGATAAAGGATACATGGGAGTCTGAGTGTTGGTGTCTGCGCGTGAATGGTTACAAATGAATAGGTGTGTGTGTGTGTATGTATGTGTTTAGTGTAGCTGTAGATTACTGTATGTGTATAGTTCCCATTGTTTCGACGCAGCATTGTGGCATTCCTCAGTGATTTACGACCATTTCGTATTCACCCTGCAGTCGTTTATCGTTTTGTAAATATGACCAGAGTAAAGTAGTTAGTAGCCAAAAACCAAATCGGGATTGCATTATGTAGACGCATTTTATGTTAATCATGTAACCAGTTTACTATCTAGTATTTAATAGTTACAAAAAATTTAGTAAGAAAAAAATTAAAAACAAACTGGTGCTTGGCACGAAGATTACATAAATGTTTTCCAATAATTTCCAAATATAGCTGTGTTTAGGAAAATAATTTTAGAACGAAGCAATTACTTAAAATTGTTGTAATACTTAAATTGCCTTAGTATGTATATAAAGCTAAGCAATGTATGCCTAATAAACTAAATGAAAATTGTGTTGCAATAATGACATTTTCGATAAAAAGAAATTCTGTTTATGGGAATGGCTTGACCCTAACCAGGTTCGATTCTCTACTTTATCATCTATCTCGCAGTTTTTCAAAAAAAAAAATTAATAATAATAATGTAAAGAAAAGCTCTGCAAATAAATACTTCTTTAAATATGCTGGTTACTTCTTCAAATTTCTTATTTTATCTTTGTGGATTTGAATGCCGATCATGGATGCATTCGGTGCATAATTAATGAAAGGGATTTCGGATTTTCTTACCAAAACAAATTTTTTTGAATTAAAATAAAAGTCTTACTTTTTTTCTTCAATTATGACGCAAGATCATTAAAAATACACGTCCAGTTGAAAAACTTACATGATTTCTGGTATATTACTTTTTCCTCAATGCTTCCATAATGGGATTTTTGGTTTGAAATTTCTTTTAAGTATTCTTGCTTTAACAAGAGTTTGTCATCCTTCTGTTATTCCACGCTCTAACTATCCATCTATTTTAAATATTAGCAAAATCTTTCACATTGGGCTGCAAGATATTAAATATCATGGGAATTTTTTAGTTATTTTCTCCGAAATTTCCCCATAATTTACCCACAATTTCTCTATAATTCGCCTATAATTTTTAAATGTTGTGCGTTTTAAATTGTAAAAGATTTTGCTCTTTTATAGAGTATGCAAAAACCATATTTTGCCTTAACATCACATATTGCCCAGAAGTGCTGATTTCATAAATAAGATTATATATATTTATTATTATTATTTTTTTGAAAACTCGCCGTCCACTGCTTGTATATCGATGGGGTGATTGATCGATATACAATGCACGGCGTTGTGAATGGTCAGATGGTTTCAGTTGTTATATGGATGTGAGTCAATTAGATACATCCCATTCTTCGGCTAAACTTGAACTTAACATCTTTATAGTTTGTGAATGAAAAAATATGAAAAAATTTATTATTTTATTTATTTATACCCAAAATCTTCTTCCCACTAGTTGTAAGTATAGCGTTATCGAATCTTAGCTTCACAAGAGCTTTTTTCGAGCAACGTGGAAACCATTCAACAATAACCAACTAAATTCTCTATCTTCCTTTAAGCCTTCAAAAGAAACGTTTTATTGAATAAAACATTGGTGTAAGCTCTGATTTATTTATTTAAAACAAAAAGTTACACTTTTAATGCAAGATTTGGAGACTTTAAGTACTTTTGGTGTGTAAATCAGTAGACATTCATGTGAGAATTATACTACCGTTCCCAGTAAGCCAGCAACAGGTATTTTTTTTTTTTTTGATTTAATATTTGCAAATTAGCTTAAAATTTTTTTATAGGATTTATATTATTATTTAAATGTATGGAAAATATTACAAATAAATAACTTTGTGTATTTGTATGTATAAATTATTCTTCCAAAGACTGATTAAGTATGTAAATATAATAAAAATATATGTGTATGTATATGTTACTTATAAAATAGTACATATAGCGTTCATATGCAGGCAAATATATACTTACTAAATACATGCATATGTAGTACTTTGTGCACTTACAATTAGTTGACATTTTTTATGTGAATGAGTAAAATGTGGATATAAAATTACCACAAAAAAAATTAAATAAATAAATAAATATGTAAATCAACCAATAACCAGGAGGAAATTATATAAATGAAAGTTAAACTTTAATTATTTGCAATTTCTAACCAACATTTACGTGCGGATGCATGCTTGAGGAAAGGTTGATATCAAAAGTTTTCAAAAGTTTGATATTTAAATAGGCATACTCAAATGAAATATAATAAATGCATATATGTATTTAGACGAAATTGAGTTAAAGTGTTCATGGTTTTTAGTTATATGTATATAAAAATGGTTATTATATAGACACTACTGTCAGAAATTGTTTTAAGTTTTAATGCGGGAAGATACTAAAATTATATTGTATTATTTATTTATATTGGAGATCAAAATGATTTTGAGTTTTATAACAAAACAATTGCTTTATTATTATCATTTGAAAATTAAAAATTATTATTAATGAGTTATTTTGCGTTATAAATATGAGAAATATGACACTGAATCAAAAGAAAACTCTCATGCTATATTCGAAGGCCTTAAAGGTATTTAGAAGTGTGCATTATTTTTAACGCTTTTTGCGAATATTTTATTTGGAAAAAATTAAAACTCAAACCGTGTATTTAGTATACAAAAAATTTATTTCTGTTTTTTTTTTTTTTTTTTTTGAAATTAGCTATTTTATAGCACTGAAGTGAGTGTCTCAAAAAAATTTTTTTTTGCTTGCCAAGATGATATGTTCGCTTGAGGTAATCTAAAATAGAGAAATCAAAAAGATTATTGTTAGGTGATTTCTTTTACCCGGTTGGAACTAGTATTAAACAATTTTGTTGATAAAATTAAGAAAAAGTTGACTTTGAAAAAAGTGAAATTTTTTTGAGTAGAAATCGTTTGGATAGAAAATTGTTTAACATTCGGGGCGAGCGTAAGAACGTTGTTTCGAGAAAAATTCTTTTAAAGTTGCAACAACAGATACGCAATATTATATTTTCGGCTCAGCGTGCACTACTACGAGACGCTCACATAAAGGTGCTATAACTTCGTCACATTCTATAAAAGTAGTATTTCTGTAAAAAAAAATATTTTTTGAAAAAATGTAGTAAATAAAAAAAAATACGATTTTTCCAAACCAAGTTACCAAGGTAATATTCTTCCTAAATAAATCAAATATAATTAATACTTTCGAGTTTTGATTTATCTTTATATACATAAGCATATATATTATTTTTTCACTTTCTTTATGTAAATATCTAGTTAACTCAATTCTCCTGCTCGTCTTACTGCTGTTTAAATTAATTAGTATTAAACGATTTTAAAGGAAAGTAGTAAATAAGTAAGTTACATGTAACAAATACATATGTACATATACACAAAGATAGGTTTGAAGTATGTGTATAGGCGTGAGTGTGTGTGAATATTTTCAGAAATTCATGTGTAGTAAAGTTTTAGTGGGGAAAGTTTAGTTCTGCAAATATGTACTCTAAAGAAACTTTGTAAGCTGTTAAAAACACGAACAATTATCCACTGAATACAACTATATATACACACACACAGTATGAGTAATATTTGAGAATAGCAGCATATAATCATACCAATAGAAATATTAATTATCGATATACCTATAAACACATAAACACGCCACAAGCTTGCTTGAGGGCAAGTAACTAAAAATCTGAGAAACATTTTATGTAAAAATGACAAGTTTAGGGGAATAAGTTGAAAATCAGTGAAAATACTAAATTTATAAAAGCAAAATTAGATAATAAGAGTAAGGTAGCATATAATATATAGTATATATAAATCAAAGATAAATAATAAATAACTTTAAGTATACTTTGTAAGGTCTTTACCTATATTATATATGTATGTAAACATATATATATATAGATATATATGAAATGTGAAATAATTAAAGCGTTGATATTGTTGTTAGAAACAACAAAAATTATATAATACGGAACAAAAACGGAATATTACTAAAAGCAGTAAGTGTAACACCTGTAAAATTATAAACTAAAATACTGGATATAGTTAATTGAAAAATTGTGGTAATATTAAAATATGTTAAATGAAATTGTAAGATGAGCGTACTAAAATAAATGCGTACATAATAAGTAATTAACAATAAATAATAAAATAGGAAATAATAAAACAAAATGTGGCCTTATTTCCCAGGATAAACACAACCAGAAATACGTATACAGGTGAGTACACCAGGATTATTACATAGCTCAACTTAATCTTACGCTTGACAAATTGATTGTACAAAGCGTTAAGGATTGTACAGAATTTGTGTGAATGAATTTCCCAATATTATATTTCATAATAAATATCTACACTTAATTTCTTACACTTCTGTTGTGCTCATTTCATTAGCCGAATTAATAACCCAAGTATATATATTAATTAATATGAATTTCGCTTAGTGATTATAAATAAATTTCATAACACTGAGTCAAAAATTCTATACCAAAATCAATATAGTGCTTACTCAAATGGAAAGTGATTTAGACACAGCACTTGACACACACAAGTATATGTTATGTTATATCCCTAACCTCGAATTTCGATTTAAATTATTTGCTGCATGGCTATAATAAAATCGTCAATCACTTTTAAAATATTACAAAAGATGACTTCATTGCAAAGAAAAAACTGCTCATTTTCTTTAGATAAGCCCACATATCTCACAATAAAAATATTATTTTTTTCTAATTTCAAACTTATTACTCAGGTCTCCTCTTTTCTTTACAATTTTATGGCAATACATATTTTTCCTTATTAAAATGCAAATTAGTTTCTAGAAACTAATTACGCAGCTCATAAATAGTAAACCAAAAAAAAAAAAAAAGAAAGAAACAGAAATCTATGGTACTCATATCTAATATCCTGAATTACAATCAACACCTGCTTTATGCTCTCGCTTGCCAGTGATTTGATTGCCTCGACAGCTGTAGGTATAATTAAAATAATGTTTTTCTTACTTTATTTTATAATCGCATTCAATTAAACTTTCTAAAAGAAATAATAAAAGTTTTACTTTGCACTTCTCTCTCCTTCATTTCGCTAGCTTTCTTTCAAATGTGCATAAATGAAGCGAACCAAATTTTAGGGTGGGGAAGTGGTGGCGTATGAGTTACTTTAAGCACTGAAGGGCCATACCAAAGTCAATTCATTAATCATTGTCTGTTAAAATCAAAATTCAAATTCAAATTCAAATTCGAATTCAAATTCAGATTCAATTAAAAATAAAAATAAAAATTAAAATTAATATTACATATGTAATTAAATCAGAATAATATCTAATTTAAAAT